ATACATGGCACACTCAATAATTAGAACCGATGATAATACATGATCATGATTTAGATATTTTGAAATCAATTATCAATGGTTTCTAATTGTAATCAATAATGGGAACCTTTAAGTATTATGAGAATGATTTCATCCATGTCATTTAGTCAAGAAAGATACCACATAAAAGAGAGGTGGTTAAACTACAAGTTGTTATACTAAATTTGTAGCAATGATGAATTGCCTCGCAGGGCCGATCCGGACGGTGGGCAACCCGGGCGACCGCCGAGGGCCCACGTCTCCAGGGGGCCCAAAATTTATGGTCTATGTAGTGTATATATATAAAAAAAATTATTACCTAAATGATGTATTGGTGGATGTCGTTTATTACTTGTGATTTTCACAGAATGTTTTGTATAACATAAGTTGGGAATTATTTGAACATGTGTCCACAACATAGCATGCTAACATTCGGTGTCTACATCTAACGAGATCATCTAACTTGCATGAATCACATAAAAGAAACCCACTCTGATTGGTAACATTCGATGCCAACTTATGTTATATAATATAATGGCATGACGTGGTACTCATGCATAATGGTACCCTAGATATTTGGGTAGGCTGTCATGGAAGGGTTTGTTGCTTTCCAAGCAAAATCCCATAAAGAATTTCTATAATAGACATATTGTTAAATGCGTTGTCTACCTCTAAACAAATAAAATATCGTTGTTTGAATGTACTAAAAGATAACACGTGGAAGCAGATCGAATTCACAGGAACAAAGTCTAAAAGTCAATGCCTTTTTGCATAAAGCATATATTAGTCAAAAACAAAAAATAAAAAAGGGGTTTTGTTGTAGAATTAATAAATAAAATTTGCAGTGAAATAACTAATTGAAATTCAATAATAATAAAATGTTTCGGTTCTGTTGCGACTCTCCTAGTTATGTAGTCAATCTAGCTAGTTATTTAAAATACGATTCTACCGAATCTAACACTAAAAACTACTAATAAGCTCTACCAAGTTTCTTTTATCTAGTTAATTAACCAAAACAAGGTTTTTAATTAAACCTAATTTTTTGGTAACTAAATTAAACAAACTTTTAATCAAATCAGAACAACGGCTTTAAATTATATGTAAAATTTTCAGCAATATCAATTAATTTTCACAAGCTCGGAAGCATAAAAATATGTGATTTTTAGTTTATAACATATTTAAATACCAATAAGGAACGAATTTGTTATCGCTCGATTAAAATAATTACCAATTTTAACACCTTGTTAACTAATGATTTAAACCTAGATTAATTGTTTATTCTAGAAAAAAATCAAAATAAAACATTTACGAAGCACAAAAATGAAACCACTAGATAGAAACAAAAATTATAAATCAAATCTTAAATTAATCACATAAAAATTAAAGTACCAGTCTTTTGCATTACTTGAAAATAGGGTTTTCAACCACACGTGCAAAAAAACAATCTACAACTAATAAATTAATTAAACGATAAAACTAAACTAACTAGACTAATTAGTCGGATTGTAATCTCTAGATCTTCGTATCTTGCCTCTAAACGTCAGATTTGCCGAAAATCGTTCGAATTTCATCTGGGTTGGCTATGCAGCAGTCTGACTTGTTTAGGAAGACTAGAAGGGCATTTATCGGCAACATGTATTGTCATATAAGGATTCTAGGGCAAATAGCGTTGAATTTTTTAAAATACAAATAATTCAAAAAATGTTCTAGACAAACTTTTAGTTAAGTATGATGTCATTTTACGACTTCCGGACCAAAACATGATCATGTGATGTAGAAACACGATTGTGTAATGGGAAAATGTGGTCATATAATGATTTTGAAGTGATAAAAATATTTTTTTTCGGCATTTCAGAGTTGTCGGAAAGTTACATGATCGTGTAATGGAGTTACACTATTGTGTAATTCCTTCGAGAATTTCAAATTGTATTTTAAGTGGTCCAAAAATCTTGTAAAGTGAAAACAAAATCATGTGATTGAGTTACACGGTCGTTTAATGGTAAAAACATATTATTCAGACTCGACATCTTTAGTTTTAGCAAATTTAATCTAACTTCTAGCTTCTTCGTATGTTTTTAGCTCCACTAAGTTCCAAAAATGCATCCAAGTTGTTTCCAAAATACTTTTTCACTCTAAATACATGAAATTAAAATGTTATAAAATAAGAATAGTATGTGAATTCTTGTGAAAAAATGAGGTGACCATTACTTACACTAAAGTGAGCATAAAGTCATAAAATATGTTTCAAAATACTAATAAAAACTATTTGAAAAGATGCATAAATTGCATCTAACACTTATATCGCTTTACTTTTGTATGGTTTTGACATCATCAAATTAGGAGAGATTATGTGGTCAAACCCCATAATTTAATGAATCAAATCATTGCCAAATATGAAGGTAATGGCTTCGACGTGTGTTTACACCGACACGGAGAACCTCAACGTGAAGGTTGAAGACCCAACAACATGTCTCAAGTATTGTTATTGTTGATCTGTATACTTTGTGATAAGGATCATATCTACTTCAAGAGAATGTAATGTTTCCTGGTATGTGGAAAGACTCTGATTGTTTTGGTTATTTATCATGACTTAGACTTAGTATCTATGAAATGTAGGGTTTTAGTAGTTTTAGTCTTTTGTGTTGTATTTAATAAGAGAGGGTAATGTTTCCTAGTATGTATAAAGACTCTCTGATTCTTTTTGGTTATTTATCATGACTTGGACCTGGTATTTATGTAATGTAGAGTTTTGATAGTTTTAGTCTTTTGTGTTGTATTTAATTGCTTTCTATGTGAAAGTTATTTTCAAGAGTGTGTTCATAACCATTACTTGTTTTTAGTTATCTATGGAATGTATGAAACTGATTATCAATAATATAGTTGGTTTTTGAGTAATTTATTTGTGTTATTTATGTAATTTTGTTGCTGATTGAGAAGTTAGGAACCAACAGTTATTGAGTTTATCATTGATGGTTATTGTACAAACGGTTTAAGTAACTTAATCATTGGTTGGGCAATCATACTCCTTTTTTATAAAATTGTTTGGGTTGATATCGTCAGTATGTTGCTTCACTCATGGTCTATTGCCTCTTTTTCTTTAACCATTGAAAATTAGGGTATAGTTCACATTCATTAAATTGTAAGATGGATAAAGCATTTCTCTAGTTCTGGAAACTTTGTATTTTGAGCACTCATAGTCATTGCATGAATACATATATGGATATTTTGATGAAGGGACATTACAATGAAACAGTTACTATATAGATAAGGAGATCCTCTAATACACCCTCTTAATTTCACCTTAAACCTCATGTGCTCCATTATGAAGTCAAGAAAGTACTAGCTAAGCAAATCAAACGCTTTCTCAAATACCATCAAAGGTACTTTTTTCATTCGATGCTCACAAAATGATACATACTAACCACCAAATAGATCACCTTTCTTAAGTTGCAAAGCAAAGACTTTGCCTATTTTTTTTTATATGGAGCCGACAAGACTCATCATCATGAAATCTCTATGAATGATAAGGTATTTGACCTTGCGGGAAACCATAATAAAATACGAATTTCATCTGTTACTAAAGGAGGTTGATTCGTTAAAATGATTGTAGAAAAAATTAGTGACAAACTTTCAATGAGACGCCCAATTTTCATTGAACTTGTCAACAAAAAAGCGAAAAGCATCCAATTTGATATTAGAAGGATCATAAATACATTGTCCATCTAAGAAAACCCTTTAATTCTTTCACACATTTCATTATTGTTAAATTGGAAATTTCGGCTTGTTCGATCTCCCATTTAATCATAGCTTTTTGTTTAAAATCTTGATTGTCAACAACCTCTTAGTTGAGCACTTCTTTTGTTAATGAATTTATTTTCCAACTTTTCAGAGTACGCAAGATCTCGAGTCCTGGTCAAGTACTTATTTTTGTCAACCTGTTTATTGGAAATATTCATATCATTGTTGTTTTCGAATTTAAGATATTGCATGTCATTAATCTCATGTTTGACATCTTTAATTATACATGCCACAACACAATCCGATTTACGATGAATCATAATAAAAAACCATGCTTCGATAACATCTGAGAGTCCATTAATCAACAACCAAAAGTTCAAGAATCTAGGAGGGGGGGGGGGGGGGGGGGGGGGGGGGGGGGGTAGGCCGAAATCCTGGAATAAGCAAGAGAGAATAGTCGAGAAGTGATTGGAAAGCTTCATATGAAGCACAACCACAACTACATTTGGCCAATTGTTAAGAAAATAACAAAAAAATGATATTTTCTAGTTTACTCATTTTGGTAGCACACTCATTCGCCCATGTATACTTTATGCCCACTCAAATTAAACTCATGAAGATCAAAACCATTCATAAAGTCGTTGAAAGCGTACATGAAGCACACGGTACATTGAAGGAATTACATTTTCAAGCTTCCCGAAATCATACTTTGTTTACATCTCCAAAAGAAACATGCAAATCCAACCTAATGAACCTTTTAAGGACTCCAAATCCAACCATTAATTAAGTTTGATAGAATAGTTTTTGTTGGGTGGGTGTTTTGAGATCTCTAAAATCTCATGGGTGATGAGTGATGTGTGGTTTGAAATCTATTATCTCCCAAAAGAGGTATTCCCATTCACTCTTACTCATGTCCTTTCTATAACATCAACAATGAAACAAAAAAGAAACACGTTTTTGTTAATTATGCGTACACTTCATATCTTTGTCTATAGTGTTGAAACACGTTTTCGCTAATAAACATCAAAATGCAACGCAAAAAACTAAATATATAAAAACATATAGACAAAGAAAACAATATCATATCATTAAACTTATATTATGCGCATACGCATAAGTATCCACATACGATCGTTTTTAAACCCCTTATTAATATAAAGATACTACCATAACAAGCAACAACATTCCAAAAGATGCAACCATCTAAATACCTTTCTCCACATCTTCTCAACTTCTTTGTTTCAAAATACCTTTCTCCACATCTTCTCAACTTCTTTGTTTCAAAATACCTTTCTCCACATCTTCTCAACTTCTTTGTTTCTTTACACATCGAAACTCAGGCTTCATGTCAGATGACATTTGCATTAAATCTTCATCACTTATCCAACAATCTTCCTTTCCTTCCTCCCATGTTCCCCATCTCCAATTTAGTTTAGGCCACCTCAGCATGCATGTCCGCATAAAATCTTTCGATACATTAGAAGAAACATTACGGTGGATAAGTAAAGAGACATCTACCAAGTTATAGCATTGATCCAACACACAAGCAACCCAAGATAAGGTCAACGAAAGGTTAACTATCATTAGATACCCACAAAAAGTTTTCAATCCTTCCATCCCAATCCCAAATATGCTACCCCTCACCTCAAATGCCGACCATGCCCTTGGCCGAAAACATAAAGAAGTCATGTTGGGGAAAATATTGAACAAATTCTGTAGGGTAAATTTGAATATTCCAAAAGGCCCTTTAATCAAACCTAGTGAATCCAAAGTTAGATGATCTAGGGAATCTGTATATCGAAAGTGAGCAAGTAAGGGGTAAATGAGTGAAGCCTCAATCCAAACTGTTTTTATAGTCCCATACCTTTTGACTAAAAGTGGGTCCGCATGAGGAATGGAAAGACGGAAGTGAGTTAACGATGGAGCTTCAACACGAACTGCAGCAGGCTTTTTACACTCGATTCTGAGTGTGATAAGGTTGGGTGCGATTACATTTAGAAATGGTGGAGCATCAGTTATAGTCCAGTGACATGTTTTTAGGTGGCGAAGATAGATTTTGGGTAGTTTAAGTCCTCTAACATCTATCAAGTTAAGAACTTGAAGATTAGGGAAGGACTGATTCAACTGGGTTAATTCCTTATCAGTTAATCGCATGGATTCGAGTGTTAAACTTGTTACCATTAACATCTGATTCAGATTGTCCACAGAAATCCATGCATTCTTCAACTCTAATTCAACAAGATTGTGACCTGAATCAAGGAAAACAAACAGGAACATTAATTAAGAATACCCATTGAGGAACAATTTCACAGTATGCCATATCATGTATTATGAAAAATGATGATCATTAATAACCCTTTTCAAGGATAATTTGGTCCGGATAAAAGATTAAACTAAATACAAATCATAAAGACTCTAAAAAACAGTTGATTACATTGGAATTGATAGCTTATTACAAGAATACGGTAGAACTGAAAGAATTAAGAGTTATAAATAACCATTGTTTATGAGGTAACAAGGGAATCTTTATCCTTACAGTTGATGCAAACTCAAATGTTTACAGTAAACAAAAGAACAGCAATTGACCACCAATTTTATCCATTTCTTGAAAGATCATAATTACTTCAGCCAAAAATTCAAGATTATTAAGTAGCAATCGACTACAGTTTGCCAAGTTAGTAAAGCCAAAAACTCACAAATAACTAGCAAACAACTATAGTTTAACAAGTAAGACTAGATGATATTAACAACCCTAGAAAGGTACAGAATTTCCGCTATTGAAGATCAGATCTGTGACGGATCTTATCATTTCACATCACTAAAAGCAAGTATAGTTTAACAAGAAAAAAAGATCCAGCATATAAAGCACTTACAGTAAGCAGACACCAGAGACAAAACATTCGATCGACGGTGACATGACTGAGCCCAAAAATCAGAAATTGAAAGGGATTTCAACGATCGGGAAACCCGAGGCAGCCACTCCATAATGAAATCCTCATCGGTGAGGTGCAGATCATTTGCCTTATCTTCAACGTCAACGTGCAACAGATCTCGGGGCAGGTTCTTGACGCCGATACGCACCGATTCAACAACTATCAAGTTCGATAGAAGATTGAGGAAAATCGTCTTGAGTGGGGAAGTGATTTGGGAAGAACTTGAAGCATTTGAAACCCTAGACCTCGATTCGATGTAACTTGACAATGGCCATTGAAGATTGATTGAATGAAGACCTGGAGAGAGAGTATTGAAAGTCTTCCACGCAGCTCGGCAGCAAGCTACGGCCGCCGAGTCGTCGACGCGACTCAGTATTTCGAGCACTAGAATTTCAGGAAGAGTCTCCATGCAAGCAGTGAAAGATGTACAAAGGGAAAATGGATTTGTTACATACTTATGCCTTTTCAATTTACGTTTACTTCTCAAGCTTTGAGTATTGTTCATTATTGCCCCTTAACTATTTACTATTTATACAAAATCATTTTAATTTAAATCATTTATCTGTAAAGATTGCTTAGCACTTCTGGACAAAATACATTTCAAAAGTTAATAATCCAAGATATTATCATACTTTTTGGTTAAACAAGAGTGTTTTCTGTAAAAAATAAATAAATTAATTAATAGAATATCACTTTTCTTTTCTTTTTATTTACAGTATTTTTTATCTATTTTTTAATCCTCATATGTATAAGAAATCTTTGTATGTAATATTTTTTTTTTCATTTTCGACTCTTTAACACATTTTTTTCAACGACATTCTTATTAAGTTTGACCGCAAATGTTTTGAAGCCATTAGCGACAAAGTATTTCATTCAAAACAAAATATATATATATATATATATATATATATATATATATATATATATATATATATATATATATATATATATATATATATATATATTCAGTTGATCGATATTCAAAACGGTTTAAGTGAGTTTTTATTTATTTATAATTCACTACCATGTTGGATATGTCAAACTAACATATTTAAAACCTAGAAGATTACATTGTCTAATTTAACTGAAATCCTGATTTTATAGATTTGAATTTTGAAAACGCTATAATCCAATGAGGATATCCATGTTGCGACATGATTTTTAGTAGTGACGGAGGTAGAAATTTTTATATGTGATACAAACATTATCAAAAAAACATTCTATATAGTTGTAATATTCGGAGCTTTAAAAAACATGATATAATCTCTTCAGCTAGGGGTACAATAATATAGAATATGTTTACAAATAATTTTTTTTATATACATAAAACAATTTTTTTAGAGGTGTTGTAGTACCCCCATCTGGTTCTGATTTTTAGTACGGGTAACTTGAAACTCGGTGCATTGGAAGACACTTATAAAAGTAAAATTTATACTTTAGCATTGTAGGAAAACTTTATTTTTATAATTAATCAACTTGTTTTCTTGAAAATTATTTAGTACGCGTAAATACGAAAAGAAATGCAATGTGAGACATTAAGTTTATACAAAATTTCAATTTTGAATCTGTGTTATTTTTTCGATTAAGTTACTAAGTTTATAATTTTGTTGCAAATTTAATCATTCGACTAGCATGTTTAATGTGTTTTCATTTGCTGAATAGACAAAAAGTTGATGAGACTTCCACGTATATTCATAGTTGGCAAATAGTTGGGTTAAAGTAGGGTGTCAAAAAGTCACACAATGTGATAAGAATACATGACACGAAACAAATGTGCCAAGCATATCACTTCATTGAAATGTATCAGTGTTGAAAGCTGATGGTACAGCCGTCCACTGAGCATCATCCGATCTACGCTCTAGCAATAATAAGATCCACATCATGATGTGCTGCCAATTAATTGTTTTGCACTAAAGTAAGTATTGTTTTTAGAAGCATAGTATGTAATAATCAAATAATTATATTACTTATATCACATGACAACTATCCTTCATGACTATTTGCATATAACCGTGTTTAAAACTCAAGCGAAGCAAAACCAATCAAATAATTGTAAGCAAACAACAGTGAACCACCCCGTTCTTTATATACAATATGTATGGTAGGCTCTACAAGATTGTGCAACGATGTTGGTTGTTGCCGAAGGTTTATATCGATCGGATACACTTCAAGTATAAAGATGAAAGTAAAACTTAATCTAAGAAAATAAAGACAAAAAGTAAATAAAACAAAGAGTTCTCCAAATTGTTCTTTCACCAAGAAACGGTTTTGTCTTCACCAAGAAGACGGGTTGTCATAAAGACAATTAAAGCAAAGTCGAACTCTCTACATAGCGTTTACCCTAATGTATATTACATACTAATATATACATGTGAATCCCATGATTAAAGGGGTAGTATCCTATCTATAGTAATAATTGATCTTCATTATAATGATAACGAATCTGCTATCTATTTTATAGTTATTTATATCATTACCTAATATACAAAAGATTATAACAAAATAACTATACTATGCACTGACGTTGATAAGCTTGATATGTTAGCAATGGTAGTAATGAATACTTTGACACTGACAATTGTATAGAGTGTTTGATTCATCATATAATAAGGTGTGACCTTACAATATCCCCTTATCTAATTATGTCAAAACCAATCTTCTTTAGAGTCATATAAAGAGCCATTGTAGGACTTGTTATCTTCTTTCAAGATCTCAGGCTTAACCCATCTGAATTGATCAAGTTTAAGTTCATCTGGTCTTCTACTAAGTTACAGAGATACTAGCACATGATATCCTCTTTCTAGTTCATAGTGACCAATTCCTTCCAAGAGAAGATGAAACAAATGCTCAGCGGGAGCAGATGGAAGACCATCAATGCGTTGAAAGAACATTTGATTCTGACTATCAAGATATACCCCGTGCTCTGGTTTTGGAATAAACATATATTGAACTGGTTCAACACCCGTTGGCAATTCATTATTGATATACCGAGTTCAATAAGGAAGAAGAAACTTGGTATTCTTGGACTGTCTGGGAGCACCTGTTTTTCCTAAGGAGGACAGTCTTGATGGACGAGCTGATAGTACAAGGTTCAGCTTATTGACTTTGTTGAGTAGCTACTGAATTGCCAACTTCACTTCTTGAGCATTAATACCCTTGTGTTTGTTAATCCAAATTTGACTAGCTCATGTGCAAATACAACCTAAGTTTATTCATATTCAGTCTTCTTCCTGGCCAAGTGAAGCTTTAGTGACTCGTTTCTTGGTTTGGTGTATTTAGAATATTTCACGTATTTAAAAAAAAAAAAAAAAAAAAAAACGGGATTTTTTTTATTTTTTTAGTTAATTGAAGTTCCGAAGATAATATTTAAAAAAAGAATTTTTGGATTTTTCCATTTATTTTGCACTTTAATCCGGTTCCATATATCAGCAGCAAAGGAACATTTAAGGAGCAAATGGTCCGCTGATTCCATTCCTGAGACACACGCACTACATTGCGTAGACTGAACTTGTATCCCTCTTTGATCAAGGGCAACCGCAGTTGGCATGCGGTCCATTCTTGCTCTCCAAATAAAAAAATTTACTTTGATTGGAATCCACTTACACCATTAAAATACACCATCTGGAATCAAGTGAGTTGCTCGATCAATCCTTACCCTTAAAGCTGCCACGCAGTCCGATTTCCATCCAATTTCAGCTTGATTTCTTCGGATAACATCAGAATCTGTAATATTCATTTTATTAAGTGTAATTTTATATTTATCTATATTTTTCCAAACACCAGTTAAATATCTAGATGACATATGAGTTGTGAGCCCCGCATCCAGATTGTGTAAGCCTTGTATGATTTTCGGCCAAAGTGCACTCCTTTCATGGTAGAATTTCCATCTCCATTTTGAGAGTAACGCCAAGTTTAATGCTTTAATGGAGCCAAGTCCTAGGCCACCCACCTCTTTTGGAGCAATTATTTTCTCCCAAGCCACCCAACATATTTTTGGAGTATTGTTAGGTCCTCCCCATATAAAGTTCCTTCTTATTTTCTCCAAGTTATCGATCACTCCTAACGGGGCTGCAAAAATTGATAAATAGTATGTAGGTAGACTCCCCAAGACTGACTTTGCAAGAGTCATCCTTCCACCGAAGCTCAATGTTTTTGATTTCCATCCGGAGAGTTTATTGTTAAATTTTTCTATCACCGGCAGCCAAGAGCTTTTACGGTTCATGCTCGCTCCCACCAGAACTCCTAAATATGTGAAACGTAATGAACATGACCCACATCCTAATGGTGAGGACCATATTTCAACCTCGTGTGGGTCCACATTAATGCCAAAGACTTTTGATTTGTTGAAATTAACACTTAGCTCGGAAGATACTTGAAAACATTTGAGGATCCTAGCCAGATTTTTTATATTTTGCATTGACCATTCGCCAATGAATAAGGCGTCATCTGCATAGAATAGATGAGAAAGCTGTATATTGGAGTTTGGAATAGAGATTCCATGAAAAACTCCTTTTGACCCTGCTTCCTTTAACGCAATGTTTAATCACTCCATAACTAAATGAAGAGAAAAGGTGATAAGGGATCTCCTTGTCTTACTCCTTTCTCTAATTGGAATTCATCCGTTGGGCAGCCATTCACTAAAACCGATGCACGAGCTGATTCTAAACATACCTTTATCCATACTCTCCATTTTAATCCAAAATTCATTTGTTGCATCATCGAGTCTAGGAATCTCCAATTCATCGAGTCAAAATCCTTATTGAAGTCGGCTTTGAAGAGAAGTATTTTTTTTTGTTGATTTTCTTTCCCCACGAACAAATCTCATTAACAATTAGGGGTCCTTCCAAGATGTTTCTTCGTTCCACAAAAGCCGTTTGTACTTCATCTATGCACTCCCCCATTACCACACGGATTCTTGTTGCTAGTAACTTTGCAATTATTTTATATAAGGACCCGATTAGGCTGATTGGCCTATAGTCCCCCAAGGAGATCGGGTCTTTAACTTTTGTTGCGAGAGTTATAAAAGAGGAATTACAACCTGGAGAAAATCTACCCCAAAGTTCAAAATGTTTTAGATATGCTAGGATATCCATCTTTAATTCGTTCCAATATCGTTTCAGAAATTTGAATGTGAAGCCATCAGGCCTCGGGGACTTGTCATCCCCACAATTCCACACTGCCCTTTTCACCTCATCAATCGACATATCACCTTCCAAAAAGTCTTTGCTAGCTGTTGAGATGGACTTGAATTTTGAACTCCTGAAATTTGGTCTAATCTTCCATTTTTCTTTAAACTTTGAAGAAAAAAAATCTGAAGATCTCAGCTTTCATCTCATCCGGCTAATTTGACCACACACCATTAATCATGAGACCATTTATGTGGTTTTTTCTGATGCGATTTTTAACAAAGCCATGGAAGAACCGAGATTTTTCATCACCATCGATCAACCATTTTATTCTCGCTTTCTGTTTGATGTCTACAGTCACCAGTTTTTCTAATTCAGTGAGTCTATTTGAAATCTTAGCCCATTCAGCTTTTTCAGATCCATTTAAATCGTTCCTTTCAGCCTTCTTATCAAGATCCACCATTCGATTTTTGATTGTTTCAATCTCCACTTGTTCCTGAGATAGATTTACTGCCTTCCAACTTCTTATCCTATTTTTTATGAACTTTAATTTGTTTAGTAAAAATGAATCTGCAGCGCCATACCCTTTGAAATCTGAGCTCGCTTTAATGACAACCTCATTGAAACCAGGTCTAAGAAGCCACGAATTGAACATCTTGAAAGGCACAGGTCCAAAATCCCTGGAACTAAGTTCAAGCATAATAGGGCAGTGATCAGACTGTTCTCTGGGTAGGGCTGTACATGAAGCTTGAGGGAAGTTGATAAGAAACTTATGACATACAAGAATTCTATCAAGTTTACTTAACTTTGCACCTGCTTGTTGGAAGTAAGTGTACTTGAATTCCCCCATTTTTTAAGTCAAATAATCCCCCTCCGGTGATAAATCTATTAAAATCTTGTGCAGTGTAGGGGCAGAAGATAGAGTTTAATCTTTCATCTCTTCTTCTCACAGCATTGATGTCGCCCATAAGAATCCACATCACATCACGTGACTTTATCAAGTTGGACATATCTAACCACAACTTTCACTTATCCGATAAAGATTGAGGAGCATATACATTGGCAATAGCAAATTCAATTCCAGAACCACAGCAATGCCCATATATCACCAGAAAATGCCTATCTTTGATTGATTCACACACCGAAAAATATGATCGGTCCCAAATAGTAAGATTGCCGCCCGACCTACAAGTTACTTCAATGTCTTCAAAACCGAAGTTGTCATCTCCCCATCCGTTTCTAACCATTGTTTCATCGACCCCGCTCTGAAGTTGAGTTTCTTGAATGCACATAAGGGTAGCTTTATTGTTCTACCTTAGTCTCGGAATCCAGTTAATTTTCATTGTTTCCCCCATCCCCTTAATGTTGATTGATAGAAGATTCATTGCACACCGATCTGATCACCAAGATCTCCCATTACATCTGCTAGTATCTCACAATCATCCCTGATGTCAAATCCAAGAAGTCTTCCTACCTCAGCCGTTTTTTCCATCTCAGAATTCCTGGGTATTGTCGACGGGGAAATTTCAGATGGGAGGTTCGGAGCGGTGTTTAGGGATCCATTTGGTTCTCGGTTAAGATCCAGATGTGCAGGAAGACTTGGAGAAGGACGTACAGGCTCAGGAATTGACTGGTCAGCATTAGTGTGGGGTTCATTTGGAGTTTGCCGGATCTTTCTTCTTCTAAAAAATGACCCGTTTAGGTCCATTTCTAAGTCCACCGGATTACTGGACTCAGTTCTAACTCCAGGTCCATTGTTTGGGAACGGCCCAAACATTCCTTTAGGAATTAAGTCTCGAATGCACCCGAACGATGCTTGTGGGGACCCAGATTCACCTACGTCCTCTTCATTGTTGACCTCCATCATATCTTCCAAGTTCCTAGGAGATACATTAATGATTGGAATGAATTCGGACTGATGGATTCCATCATTGTTGAGCGATTCAATATGTTGATTCCCGGAATTTGAAGGGGTGACTATTGCCCTTCCTGCCGGAGTTTCGTCGGAGACATCATCAAGGAAGTTTCTTCCGATTTCTACACCAGGTCTCATATCAGAATCAACGCCTGGTCCAATCTATCCATCCTCCAACTCATCATCCGAATCGAATATTGTATCAGAGACGTCGTCTTCCTCATCTTCCTCCTCTTCCTCCTCTGATTCTGCCATTGAGTTTTTTGAGTTAGAGAAAGGCTTCTAATCATCATCTACCTCATAGATCCCCACTTTGAACACTCGATTATCTCCAACCACAGTAACTTCTTCATTGATTCTACTTAATGACTCTGTTAAGATACATAATTTCATATGCGATACATCCAACGTATTCGTAGTAATCTCTATTGAACTGGAAAATACCCCAAGCTTCGAAATAATTGCTCTGAAGTTTTCTTCGTCCCAAAGGTGCAGGGGGAGGCCAACAATTTTAACCCAGGCAATCCGATCATTCTTGATTTCAACTCTATCACCTTTCTCAATCCACTTAAACCATAAGGATTCCATAAATCGTTTAACATCAGTCGGGTTCCTGAATCTCATGCCAATCTTTAACACCCCCCCCCCCCTAAGTATTTAGTATTATATTTTTCATCGTCTCCAACCAATATTGACATCGGCAGACTTGTTAGATGTTCAAAGCTTAGAGTTTCACCTACTATAATTAATTCACTTTTAAGCCAATGCTCCATGAAAGTACATGTATGTAATTGTAATGGAGGAGTAATAAGCGGGGGATGAGGAGGGGGTGGCGGGGGATTGGAGTTTTGCACCGCCTTATTATTCTTCCGGGCAGCCCCCTCCGCATAAGATCTACCATCTCTCCATGTTGATGATCCTCCACTAGTTTGAATTGGAAATCTCCTCTGGTATTGTGTCTCTTTAAAATTCTTATGCTGTCTCTCCATCCTCTCATACTTGGTGATGTTCACTTCCAGTCTATACCCATTGCATGTAATTCCTTGAATGTTGGCTTCCAGTTTCAAAATGTCCCTTACTCCTGAGTACCTAATAAAAGCAAAACATCTTCTCTTTGAGTCTTTTTTCTTAGCCAGGTATATGTCATTGATCTTCCCAAACTTCGCGAAGGGTCTTCACAGCTCCTCTGGCCTTAATCCCTCCGGAAGGTTGGTCACGAACATGGTTGTGGTTGGAACAACTTTGTCCGTCTTCTTGCATCTCCGGTTTACTTCCGACCATCCGTCTCCCATAGCCTAAAAATTACCGCTAATGAGAATGTAAAGTTATCTTCTAAATATTATCTCATGTGATCCGATGTAGATATTTGTGCGTCAGTTTAATGAGATGATATTATTATCTTTGCCTATATATTAATTTTTAGGATTTAGTTTTTTATGTTGCATTTGATGTTTGTAAGGCCTTCATATTCATGAGCAGTGAGTTTTTGTTGATTACCTTAAACAAAACCCTAGGAGTTCTCTTATGAATGATGCATTATTTAGTTAGATTGGTCTGCATTCATGTGATGACTGTGGGTGCTCCTATTAGCACGAATAAATACGTTTATATCATTAGATTAATTTGAATAGTGCATAATCAGTGGCATCATCTTTGTGGATTCCTTAATTTCAATTGTTTTTTATTTTCTTTCATTTTATTTTCTTTAAATTAGATGTGAGTTACAAAACAACCCCTTCTACTTTTTATTCTTTTTAAATTCAACAATTTTATATGAAATACAGATATAAAAATAAATACTAAAAATAAAATATATGCTGATAATTTTTTATTTTTGTTGTCATTGTGAATACAAATTCATTTTCAATAAACTTTATGTTTCACTAAACGTCAATGATATATTTTATTATCTTAATTTACATTTTTAATTACCAGCCAATTTGTAATTTTTCCAACTCACCTAGACTATATATGTGTTATTTCGAACTAAAAATTAACATAAGGATATTTTGAACTATAAATTATCACATGGATAGTGTGAATAAAAAAATAATAACATCAGCTAGTTCGAACTAAAAATTAACACGATAATAGATTGAACGAAAAAACTAACACACGGATAGTCAAAACAAAAAAAACATAATGAAAGTCCAAACAAAAAAAATAACACAGATAGTTGAAAAAAAAAACATAAAGATGGTCGAACGAAAAAAATAACACAGATATAGTCCAAACGGAAAACGGAAAAAAATAACATGAAGATAATCCGACCAAAAAAACAAGGCAAGAATAGTCAGAACAAAAATAAATAAGACAATAATAATCGTAACGAAAAAATAACACAAAGATGATCTGAATGATAAAACAACATATGAATAGTTCGAACGGAAAAATAACAACAAGGATAGTTGAAGCCAAAAAAATAACACAAAAATAGTTTGTAAAAAATAAAATAACACATGAATAGTCTGAACGAAAAAACTAACACGAGATAATCCGACCAAAATACAACACAAAGATAATCATAACGAAAAAAATAACAGGAAGATAATTCGAACAAAAGAATAATAAATGAATAGTCCAAATGAAATAAGAATATATATAATGAGAAATAAAATAAAATCCTATATTTTTGTATCATTTTCTTATACACTTAACATTGTGATATTTGTCATATCTAATAAAATTAATAAATTTTATTACACTTGTCATCATCTAAAGTTGATAGAATGATGGATATGAAAAAAAAATAAGGATATTTAATTTCTCATTCATAATAATCCAAACGGAAAAATAGTGACAGTTTCGATGAAAAAAATAATACATATATGGTTCGAACGATTAAAAAATATTTTTTTAATGTTAATAATAATAATGTTTATTTATTAAAATTATTAAGATTAAAGGGAAAAATTATAAAACATTAATAAGGAAAAATAATTTGAAAAATCAAAATAGAGGATGTATAACTTACGTGCATATTTACTAAAGTGATATAAATCGAAATGTGATATGTTAAGAGTAAACGTTTACACTCCACCATCATTTAAATAATAAAAAACATAAAAATTTCATGTGAAAACATGGTTAAGAGCTCACAGTAAAAGGTGAAATACATCAATTCAATGCTTCATTTGTATAGATAGATATTTGTTCGTGCACTTAGAATCACCCGTGCTTAAAATACAAACTCCACCAAACAGGAAAAATAGGTTATCTATCTAACAATCTAATTAATGTGAATTGTACCCTAATTTTATTATAGTACATTGTGATTCATACGATTTGGTTAAATATGCATTTATGTTATTGTTTATCAATCATGTATTATGCAATGATAATCGATGACTACATTATATAACTTGCTTTTACAACCAAGTCGGATGTAACATGTATAATGCCGTTGTATCTCAACAACCGTATCGGTTATATCAAGATACTAAATGTCAAGATTAGGAGATAAACAATGTTTGATAGATGAAATAATATAGGTAAGTTGATCAATGAAATCATGACCTTATTTAACAAATAACACTGTTTTGAAATATAACGACTATCATAGTTCTTTTTAAGAAAACAATATATTTATCAAATATTATTGTTGTTTTTTTTCAATATAGAATGAATTTATAGTAAACAAAACACAAAATTTTGCGGAAAATAATTACTATAAAACCTACATAGCAAAAACATAACAAAATAGGATTTATGAAAATGCAAATTCCTTCATGGAAAAAACATAACAAAATACAATCAATACCATTATTGTTAGAATAGTTGTCGTAGATATTCTTTCCTAAAGTTCTTACATCAACTCAAAACTAATTCATCTAAGTTCATTGGTGTTACATGTATGAATTTTACATGCAAATAAATAAATTGTTTGATATCAAACTAGATCATGAAATTGGCTCTCTATTAGTACATTGCGACTCGATCATGCGACTCGATCATCTGGTACTACACATCACTAGTCAGTGGCCTTTCCACCGGAAACAACCTGATTTCAAAATTTATCTTCTCCTTTTATGTAAATATGTAATTGTTGTTGGATTTCATCATTCCTTCCTGTTATTGTAATCGACTATATGGCTTTACATAAATCTAAACTGTATTATGTTAAACTATCACTCTTCTTGTTCGAAGTAACCTTATAGAAACAATTTTCATGATTTTCCCTTGTTGGTTTCCTAGTTTTTAATATGAAGACCAAGTGTTTGATAAAATTTCACAAAGAGACATGTATATATTTTTCTGTAATTGGATTTACAATTTGTTAGTTGTTTGTTCTGAATCAGTAGGTATCAAATAGCAATATCATTTTGAGGTGCACCTCCAATGATTTGAATTTGTTCACATGAGATGTGTGCAATTATATAGAGAAATTTCAATATTTCTCATTAAAAGCAATGTGAAATTAAAGATATCAAACGAGATTTATCGGTGTTTTCTGATATCTAGTTGTGTGTTCCTCTACCAACTCTAGATTATTTATAGTTACTTGTAATTAAAGATCGCATAATTATAACATATCTTTTTGGATTTCATTGATCGTTCTTTGTTAAGTTTGAACGTTTTTTGTATCATATTTGATTCATTTCTCCATTTATGGTTAGGTTTAATTGATTTTTACGCAAACATCAAGTGTTAGATGAAACTCCTAAATGAGAATATTATATATCAAACGAAATAGTGTTATGAAAATGTTGTTCCTTTATTCTTCTTCGTTGATATGGAAAGCTCTTGGTGAAGAGGTTTTTTTCTTGACTTGTCAGCTCCTTATGAGTCTAATATAAAAACAATAATATTTGTTGTGTAGGTGAACACTTACAAACTTTTACGTGCACCATTTTACATAGTATTAATTTTACTTTCTGAAATTAATGGTAAACTTTTTACTCTTTTACTAAATGATAGGTGATTTTGTCATGCTAAGCTTCTTATACATTATTTGATTATGAAAATTACACAAAACTTGCAGAACTTGCAGGTTAGATTAACGATTGTTTTTCACTCTTTTGTTGAATGGTTGATGCTTATCTTCATTATTTTTTTTAGGTGTAAGAATGTAAAAATGTGCAGCAGAAGTCAATGTTATGAAAGCATAAGTTCCAAGATTGCATTATCTATATTCAGCCTTAAAAATGTAAAAACAGTTGTGGTTGTCTCCTGTTTGGAGGATCAAGAAAGTTATAGTGCCAAATTTACTTTTACATTATATTCTTTGTCATTAACAATTTAGCATCTCACTTCTTCTATTTTTACAAACTTTTCTTGATAGTGTGAGGTTGAAGGGTGATATTACTATTTTCCTCTTCATCCACTAGAAACTCGTAGATCGGTTTAAATCCTTACTTTCGTAGGCCAATTTTAATTATTTATTATGTAAAATTCTAAACTATTCAACAAATGAAGTATTTAAATAAAGTTAAATATTAAAAGGTAACTATTTAGATGAGAAAGAATGATCAATGTATGGTAAAAATATTAAAATCGAATGAATAAGAAGAATATATAAATGATTATCAAATTGTATGCTAAATTGATAATTGGTTAAAATGCCTTATTTAACAACTTAAATGGATAAATTACTAAATTCATAGACATTTTTGTAAATCTAAAAAAGTACTTAAACAATAATTCATAACACTTAAAATATAGTTTGTCGGCGAGAGTGTAGGAACAAATAACTAAAAATGGTGTTGCAAAGAAGAATTACTTTTTTTGTTGGATAACTTATATATGTTTACAATGATTTATTTTTATTAGTTTATCATGTTTAGTTCATTATGTTTGTTTCAATCTCAAACCATTTCACATTTTTTTTATGATCTTGTATTGTTAATTTATCTTTATATTTTTCACCAAATTAGGGCAGTCTAATTGATTTTTGTAGTTGCTGACATGGTATGCAAAGTACATTGCTATTTCTTATAGTTTACTCTTTTAATGCTTATTATTGTTCATTATGCATTGAATAGAGAGGAAGATGCAACTAAGAAATGACATTATACCTGATGAAACCATCGATATAATGCAAAAATATGGTAAGAGTTATATAGTAATCAACAATATATATATATATATATATATATATATATATATATATATATATATTACTGCCTCATAGCATTTCTTGTAGGTAACAATTTTGAAGGTCTCCAAGAGCATTGTTGTTTAAAGGTAAAGTTTTTTCTAAATATTCTTTTGTGATATTGTTTTTCTGATTGGGAAAAATATAAAAGGTAGGCAACATATATCCACTATTTTGTCAACGTAACCCCTTAGCTTT